TACCTAGCAAGATTGAGTCAAAGAAATTTTTGGAAAACCAAAAAAAATTTGGACTTCACAGCGGCGAAAAAACTGGAAAGGTTCCAAGTTTTTTTGTTATGTTAGCAAGAGCGATTTGTGTGAGCAATCAAACTTTCTTGCAGAAATTTCTCGCAGAAAAAAACTTTCGTAAATTCGAAAACGAGTACATAACGATCGAAGTTCGTCCTATAACACGGAATAAGTTATGATTTTCCAAAGCGAGGGCTCCCAAAAATGAGAATTTCCCCTATAACCTGTGTAGCCAGTGCTGCAATAAGATATGGTAAGTGCAGATGGTATCGTCAACGATTTGTGAACTGTGAAAATTTTTGGAAAGTTGTTTTTAAAGAAAGTTATGGCATTTCAAAGTAACTAAGAGCGCAAAACTCCCGAATCAACCCAAAAGCAAATCTGTCCTAATGCACATGTATATTCAACGAATCACTGAGGGAGTACTTACAGCAGTTACCACTTTCATTTTTTGAGACATTCATATTCTGTAGAAACGTTCAGATTTTGGATCGGTAACCAAAACTTACAACATTCGCATTGTGCGTATGTATGTCGAGCTCATCGACGGCATTGCGACGCTTTGAAGGTATAGAAAAAGTATTAACTATTCGCATAGTGCTTTCATAAAGAAGTTTCCGTGTACAAGGTTTACACCATCACTTTTGATCATGATGGCCATATACTAGGGCGGTCCAAAAACTCCTTCCCACCTTTTTTTTTACAAAACCGTAACTTTCTGCTATCCGCAGGGATTACATGGAGAAAAATTTTGCTGAATTGAAGTCATGTAGTTTTCAATCTGCATGTATAGGGCATAAGTCTCAACGCTAAAATGTAAGAAGAGGATCACTCAGATTACGCCAAGTTTAAGCAAGCTCACCAAAAATTTGAAAACATTACATAAAATATTGAAATAACATAAGCACATGTTACTTGATCTGCGCACAAATGTTTTTATGAAGAATGATTTCTGAGAGAAATGTCCCGTGCTTTTTACAGAATTTTTCACGGAAATCAATCTGCTCCTGATCAGCATGAATTTTGCCCAGCCAAAAAGAGAAGGTCATCAAATTCATGTTGGTAACTGTTTCGGTTCCCCCCTCCCAGAAGACGTTTCAAACTTTTTGGGCTTGCTCAAAAATTGCAAAATTTGAAGAATTCTCTTCATTTGTCCAACTCTCATATTTTCTCGTTTTAATAAGAATCTAATTCGGTGACGCTGCTCAAAAATTCCTGTTTCAAGTGATTTTTTCATTAATTTCTAATTCTCGCATTCGCTCGCAATGATAGGGCAGAGGCGGTCTTGTAGGAGCTAATTTTCACATTTAAAAAAAAGTTCCAGAGAAATCATTAGGAAGCATGTTAGATTTGTTGAAAAGGTGGGAAGAAACTTTTGAAAGAACCTAAAAGTTCCTGCAAATCAACTTTTTGCTTCTGTGTTTTGTTCTCAGTAGTACACGCGGAAGTTGTAATGAAAGGAATGCAAGCATGCACAAACTCAATTAAGTGCCACCCAATCACGGTGGGAAAACAGATCGTCTCGAAGGTGAGTAAATTGTGTATTTTGTTCAACAAAAGTCTCAAATATTTCACAGATTAACATACAGCTGTAATGGATACTTATTACTCTGATACTGCATTTCCTTTCAGCTAGCGAGCTCACAACTTATTGCATTTAGAGTGGAATCTTCGTGCAGAGCAATGCTTTGGACAAATGATGCACTATTATACATTGAATCAGCTCGTTCGTCGTGTTTTTGAAGCTCATTTTCTCCGATTTCTCTCATTTCATTGATTTATACAATTATTTATGCTTGATTATTGTTGCATGAAATATGCTATTAGAAATCAAAAAGTCATAGCAATAAACTCATCGTTGGTAAAGAAAATTAAACTCAACCAGTGTCGAGATGTAGCTTATGCCTAGTCGTATACTACAGAAAAGCCTATGTGTAATCGTGTAATTGGGTGAACCAGCCACATGATGCATGAACCAACTGGGAATAAGATAAGGGGATTGCTCCCCTTTCCTGAAATGAGATCATTAGACATTACGAAATTGTAGAAAAAGTGTCTCTAGCGACAGCGGTTAAACAGTTACTTGACACTATATACACTTCGCGCATCATTACATGTATACTAAATATTAACAAAAGATAATTTAGTACTTTTGCATTCGGAGGTGCTCTGCTAATTTCGCTGTTTCAGTACAACTGATTCAGTCTCCATCATTCTGTACATTCCTTTTTCTGGAAGTTCTTCACTGGAGCTCTGTGCACTCAAGCTATCGTTAACCAAAGTTCTTTCATATTTTGCTATAAAGCCTATGAGAATTTCTTTTTGAGTCACCTAATGTAGAAATATTCTATGTTTAATAGCTATAAAAAAGCGAAAGAATCTGCTCTACCCACGATTTAAAGCTTTTCAGAGTCACACTGCGTTGAGCAGCGACTCATCATCTTCTCGGATGCAGAGTTAAGACGATGTTTTATGAGAAGTAGTGTGTAAATCGCATGCTCTTCACAAGTTGCTTACCCGTCACCTTCTCAAAGACATAAACACAATTTTGGTACTAAACCAATTCTACCTCAAGTATTGTAGTTTCAACTTTATGAAGTCCTATCGGCTTGCGTACGCACGCTGTTTACAAAGACAATAACGTGAGTGAATATCAAGTCCTCATCAATTTTATCAATTTTTGCAACTGTAAAGTGGACTGGTGAAAGTTGGTACTAGAGGCCGTGGGAAGGGAGATATAAGCGGGATACCAACTACGAAAGCGACACTCATTTCAAGAACATTGCGTTTATCGATTATATCGATTTTCACACTTCGCCATTGGGAGGAACAAATGTTACAAAGCACGCTACCTGGTAAATAAGCCATTGGAGAAGGTAACTCTGATTACGAAAACACAATGGAGAGCCGGGATTAGAGTTTGGAGTGGGTAAAGACAAGGAAATATGGTCTAAAAGTGCTCGAAATCGAGCGGGCCGCCTTCGAGCCATATACAGGTTGCGTAACAAGTTCGTTCGCATTTTTTGTTTTAGACTTTTCTTAATATTTGAAGCGTTTATCGAGATGTTTGTATGCATTCGAAGGTCCAATATGCTATACCAAGTAACTATCAATATTTTCTAATTTCTCGAGAAGTTAGCTTAAAAAATTCGGCTGAAAAGTGCAAAATCCAAGGAGGCAAAAACTCCATTTTCGACATGTTTTATTCCTAGTTTTTTTGGTTAATCATTGATAAAAATTTGTTCAAAACGCCTGATAACAATTGAAAATAACAAACTAATCACTTATTCACTTACTGCCAGTGTTTATGCTCATTCACGTCCTTTAACCGACCGTTTAATGCCATTTTTGTAACAGTGGGCGGAGCAAGACTATGCCGCGAAGACGTGGTTTCGCGTTGAGTTGTATGTCCCCCCAAAATTTAAATTTCAGAGTAAGTAGCGCATATGTTTGATAATTTTATAATCAGAGACCCCTTTGTCTTCCAATTCTATATTGTTTGGCAATCATTTTCTCACACGATGCCTTCAGACGCCTAATGTTGACGCCGAAAAGAATCAAAAAAGCGAAACTATCGTTAGATTATAAAATGAATTTTTGAGCAATTTTAGCACTTATGAGTAGTTTGCGGGACGTACAGCATTCTATCCATACACGTCGCAAGTTTTTCAAGCTGTTTTTCAAGCGTTCAAATACGTTTAAGAGGCAGCATGATACAGTTGTCGAAAATGGAATTTTAGCTTTCTCGGATTTTCCGGTTTGTAGTCGGTTTATCAATTCAGCTTCTCAAGAATTGAGAAAATAACGAGAGATAGAGGTAGAGCAGACCTAGAGCTTTCGAATGCATACAAATTTTTGCCGGATGCTTGAAAAATATCGAGAAAAGGTTGAGACAAAAAATGCGAACGAACTTATTACACAACCTAATAAATGTCTAGACATTTCTTGTTGTTGTAAGTAGAATACGCTATATCTCTGGGAGTTGCCATGCTTGCTACTAAGCATTTCGCATCAAAGGTACGGTCACGATCCTGCCGCCCTCTCTCCATAAATACTACAGATAAGGATACTGCATTTTGTTCTTATTAAAGGACGACTTAGTGAGTGTTTGCCATCATGCTTTCATAGCAGAAATGTTTGCTGTTTGCGATGTGCGAGTTGAACTTAGGTTTTCGCTACACTTGTGTTTACGATGAAAGCTCTATAACTTTAGATGGTAGCTTATTGATTCTTATAGGAAGATTAGCAGAAGATAGTTACCAAATCAATTTTAAGGCAATATGAGCTCTAAAATATCTGTTCTTGATAAAATCAATTTAGCTACTCAAGTTTTTCCATAAAACGCTATGAGTCATATAGACCTCCTACTTATTTGAGCTTCCCAGTTCTCGACATAATCTTATGTAATTTAAGCATCTGTGAAAGTGTATAAGTGAGCTTGAAATGTCGATTCGTTCATCATCTCTCTCAAAATCTCTCTTTGTTATCGAGAAAGAATCAAATTGTGTGCTGTTAGTGAAACAGTATTGCAACAAGTGTTTATTCGTAAAACACAACAGCCGAGAAGATTCGTTGGTAAGCTTCTTCGACCTGAAATACCGTGTTCTCAGGCAGATATTAAAACAAGAAAACTATTTTCAGCATCTTGAACTAAAAAATAGGTACAGACTGCGGTTACACATACTTTTCGTATAGACTGAATATGTCGTCAAGCTGATACAGTTTCGAAAAAGCAATAGCAATATTTCGGAAAAAAGCTAGTTTTGGGAAATGTAGAAATGTATACCTCTTGCAGCACTTTTAATGAAAAATTCTGCATTTGACATGTTTTCAATTTTGAAATTTCAAATTTTAACACATAGAATTCTGTGGTAAAAAGTCATCTTTGCAGTGGCGAACAATCTGCGGTATCTATTTTTTCTTACCTGGGTGGCCATCTGGAAGTTGCCCTAATAGGTCTTTGGAGCGTTCACCTGAAATGGCAAATTGAAATTTAAGCTTTGCTTTCTTGCTCGGCAGCTAACTGTTTAAACTCGAGTTTTTTGTTGAAGTAATTTGCAAGGCAAAACCGAGTGAATTCGCCTAATTCCCATTTTTCAACTTCAACATTTATGACTGTACCCATGACACGCAGCAAATTGATTGACGTGACAGATAGACTTCATTCTCACCAGATGACAAACTAGTGAGATATTGTTTTGTTTTAAAACAGTGAAGCGGGTGAAGTGGGCGAAGTGGATAAGGATGGCGAGTGACTACTGCCACTATATACAGCTCTCCAAAAATCTGAGGTTTTTATAAAGAGCTGGCTACTACTTTGTAATGCGCGCAAAAGAAATTTTTTGAAATCATGGCAGATTACGACTTTCTTTTATCGATTTGGGACTATATTAGCGCACGGTCTATCATACAAGTTACATAGGCTTCTGGATAACTAATTGTAGCAACACGATCTTGAACTCACCGGCACGATAGCGCTATTGTTGCCGTCAGGGTATCTGTCAAGCTGAAAAAAGGTAATTTTAGTAACATACGGAATTTAGCTTGTGCAGTTATTAGGGTAATTGCAGAATATTTGTGCTACACACTTTGAAGTTCATGCACGAAGTTTTTTCCAAGCGATCAACGCTGGAACTCAGAGGTGCATGCAGTAGTGACTTTAGGTTGTGTATTAAGTTTGTTCGCATTTTTTGTTCTAGTTTTTTTTTTCAATTTTTTGCAAAGCATCTGCAAAGAAATTCGTATGCATTCGAAAGCTCTGAGTCTGCTCTAACAGATTCTGCCATTATTTTCCCAATTTTTTAGAAACTTAATGAAAATATCTACTACAACCCGGAAAATTTGAGAGAGCAAAAATATCATTTTCAACAATAATATTACGGTACCTCTTGAATGGTTTTGAACACTTGATAAACAGCTCGAAAATTTTGCGTATGGATAGAATGCTGTACGCCCCGCAACTAAATGTAATTTGCTTTTTGACGTCTGGCGTCAACGTTAGGCATCTGAAGTCACCCTGTGAGAAGTCTGTTGTTTTCATGTTCTCAGGCTTTTTGGACGATATCTATTGATGATTAACGGGAAAAACTAGGAGAGACGAAGATGTCGAAAATGAAATTTTTGCCTTTTCGGATTTTGCGGTATGCAGTCGTATCCTTTAATTAACTTCAGAAATGAGAAAATAGTGATAGTTGTTTAGTAGAGCAGACTTAGAGCTGCCGAAGGCATTCACAACATCTCGTTATACGCATTGCAAAATACTGAGAATGAACTAGGATAAAAAATACGGACGGACTTGTTACACAACCTAATATAACCCCTTCTCAATGGTGTTGTCATTGAATTGCGCGGCTCGTGTTCGCATAATCTCGGATACTACGTCATATTGTGATAAGACTTTTCCCATTTGAGCAGCGATCGAAGGCTGGCGAGCGTAGAAATTGGCTGACAAAAACGTTCGCGAAGACGCTCAAAGCCGAACCAGCTTGCCGCGCTAGACGTGGGCCGCAAGAGGCAGCCACACTTATATTGAGACGAACATACAGGGCTCCTAAATTGCAGTCGTTTGCACCAGGGTAGCTACGGGCAGAATCTCAACTTCTATTTTTGTGACTTATTGAGGCCTTTTTATGGCTTTGATTCCAAATATGGCAATCAAAATGCGTGAGTTCCTCAAAAAAAAAAAACCCATTTTTGAGACAATTTCATGCAAAGCGTAGACGAGTGCTTCTAATGCAATCCTTGTCGAAAGCAAGCATCAACAGGTAGGCACTATGTGTTCTACTGTGTTTGCCACGTGGAAACACGTCAAAGGCTAAGGAGAGTTCGTTCAAGGGAGCAAGCCGTGCGAAGGAGTAGGCGTGGTTCTCGAGGCTCGACGTTTTCTGCGTCAATTTCCTCTTTTAACAAGGGGTGTGCAAAAGTCGCATTTGTGCAATATTCTAAACACCCTCGTACTAGGTTGTGATATGTCCTATAATGGTCAAATCTGCCCGGACGCTGCCTTTACAATAACGCAGCACGCGGAGAAGAATTATTGAGCTTTATTGCTACAGGGCTCCTAAGTTGCAGAGTCGTTTGCACCAGCGGTCGCGCGACCGCATCGCGCCCGGGCATTTTGCCGGCGCCGGCGCCATCGATCGAGGCGGCGCCATTGATGCCCGGGCGCGACGCGGTCGCGCGACCGCTGGTGCAAACGACTCTGCAACTTAGGAGCCCTGTACCATCAGTTTTTTTTGTGCAAACACAAGGTGTCCCAAAAGTATGCATACACCGTTTGATCATTAATATCTCTGTTCCCTAGAAGTCTTCTGCCTGTCTTCAGGTACCGTTTTTTGTAGAGCAGGATTCAATTTAGATTTACAGTATGGAGCAAACAATAATTCTCGTTTACTACTGTAGGATTACGGTAGGAACTTCAAGAAAGGTTTCGAGCCATTGAGAGCCCCATTTCGCCTTAGAAAGCAAACCAAACAATCTAGAAACTCTTACACTAGGCTAATTAAAGTCGCTAAAACCAAATATGAACTTTGCATCTGACCCCGATGCTTCCTTCATGACTTACAGTCGAGTAGATTTAGCGGTAAATATAGTGTGTTTGCACAGAAGGTGAAATGCGGTGAAATTTGCGCGTGAACAAGTAGCCACGCCAATACTGCGGGTATTTTGCGCGCGCAATTGGCCGGCGTCACAGTCGAAGCTATTTCTTCACGCGCCGATTTTACCGCATTTCACCTTTTGTGCAAGCACACTATATTTACCGCTAAATCTACTCGACTGTATGTTCCCTAAACCGTAACAGCTGTTTTTATGCTCCCTAAAATTGCAATCACACCCTTTGGAAAGCTTCACAAACTCCTAGAAAGTTGAGAAATGAAATCAGTGCGCGTAAAATCCCCGGTACATCATTTTTCAGAATTTTTGGAAACTTTTTTCGAAACACGATTAATACACAATGACGCTATAAGCCGAAAGTTCCTACCGTAATCCTGCAGTAATGAAGAGCGGTCGGTGGCTCGCTCTATACTGTAAATCTAAGATGAACCGCGCTCTACAGAATGGTACCTTAAGGTGGGTAAAAGATTCCTTGGGAAGAAAAATATTAACGATCAAACAGTGTATACATACTTCTGGGACACCCTGCATTCAGGTAAAGATTTAGAATCTGGGTCAGGATGTTACGCAAGTGTGCTGATTAAATATGCAGGTGCCAGACTTATCCGGTTCAATACATCCTTGCAGTTCATCCAATCCTATTGGCCGAATTGCAGAGTTGACCAATAGCGAAGAGCTGAACTGGATAAGTCTGGCCTTTGGCTCATGAATACTGAGGGTAATGAGACCTTGTTTCCATAAGGGACCGGAATGGTAGAAATTATAACGTATAATGATAGGGACGACAGGAACCACTCTCTAGCTTACCAGTAATTAAAGAACACTCATAAAAAACGATGCGAAGGACAAGTCAGGACAGATGTTCTAAACTTTGTATTGGAAAACTGCAACATATAGTACATCTTTGGACATCGCCACCCATAAGAAAAGCGGGATGTTTCAAGCACCTTTCATGCGTACAAAGAATGTAGCGAGCTTATTCTTCAAACGTGTAGGGATTTTCACAAAATGCGGTTTTGCTTAGTAACCCAAAGCCTGTGCCAATAATTGCTTCGGAGCAATGAAAGCTTGAAAATTGACGATACATGCAGTTGAACTGATACTACTGGAAGCAAACTCACTGTAAATGGTCCTTTCAGCTTCCCCTGAAATAAACTGAATCAGACAATTTCACTGGAAAAGATTAGCAAATGAAAATAGATTTCAGGATGATTCTACAGCATATCGAAAGATCGAAAACCTCAAAGCGTCTCGGTATCTAAGGGTTTAATGACAAAAAAAGCGCGTTGTTTTGACAACGCAACGGTATGAAAATAGTTAAGCCTTTTTTGAGCGTTTCCTTCAATTACAAATCCGCTTACATAAGATTGCCCAAAAAACTTTATATATTATGAATTTGCAGATTAGATTGATTGTAAACGATCATTAAAACTCAGGAACTCACGTCCGAGGAAGGGCCGGGCAGCTGAGCAGCAAGCTGAAAAATTGTGATTACGTCGGATATGAGAGTTTGTGCACTTCTAAGTTCTAGTTAAAGGCTACTCCGAGACGAAGGCAGCCGACCATATAAGCGAGGCGTGCGCGGGCATACGAACCCTAGGGCTTAAGACATACTTACAGCGAGCTATTTGCCGAATGACTACAGAATAATCCTATGCGGGTCTCAAACGTATAGGTGCACAGATTCCCTGAGATGTTGCAAAGGCATCAAGTGGCCCAAACAAAACGCGCTTACGACCATTATGAAAAGTCGTTGCAGTGCATTTATAGAGCGCGTCAAATGGAATCGCTTGAGGTATGCTCTAGGCCTAATGATGAAAGATACTCGAAGGCGCACTCGCATACTCTTCGCAAAACGAACTGACAGCCATCGTCATGGATTAGCTTTTACTAATACTTGGGGACTCATGCGACTCATCAATTCAACGCACGGCCCATTTTGAATCGCATGCGTACTCTTATAACTGCAACAATAGAATATCATCTTACATCGCTGATTGCTTGCTCCCATGGGTCGACCTGAAAAAACGTGCTAAGAATGGACTTTCCTGCTTGTAGAGTTATTAGGTCATTCACAGAATAGAATGCAGATTGTGGATTTTCTCAATATCTACTCTGCCAACATTCGCAAATTAGACAAACAATCGTTATTGTATAAAACTCAATGACTGTTTGTGTGCAAGGGTCTTTGCAGGTCTGTTGTGTAGAGAAGATCTCATTTGTGCCATTCAGCCCAGATTTTTTTCGCACACTTTGGGCAGGGGGTAAGCAGTGGTCATATTCCACTTTGCTACGATCAGCATTTCAATGTTTCTGCGAATTTGAGCGAGGAATTTGGGATCGAAGCTGAAACTAAGTGAATGCGGTTACTAAAATATTTCAAAAATGAGTTTCGCTGATACCACGGGAGGGGAGCTGTAAAACCTGAGCTAAAAAGCCAGCACTGAGAGGGCAAGATACGAATATTGTACTGGGAACTGATGTGTAGAAGTTGAACAGGTATGCTAGTTTGTGACTAGATATCGAAGGAATTTGGCGAACGAAGGTGTCGCGACAAGGCCTTCATACTGAAATATGCTAACGCGGCAAACCAAAGTGTGACATGGTCCGGATTCCTCGATATCGTCAAGTTGGGTGGATGTGACTAAGCCTATCTAGCCTACTAGCCTATAAGACTATCTAGCATGCAAATGATGGTTGCGAATGGATATCCAGAACGCCACTAAGCTCCTTACGAATTGCGGGTTTGCTAGTATTTAAGGTCTGATGGTATAAAAGTGCTTCTTTTCCGCAAAAGAAAAAGTTAGCTTGAAGATTGGTTCATTGGTGCAGGATTATCTACTGCATACAAAATTTTTTAGATTCTTTGTAGGAGGCAAACACCACAAAATTTGAAAAGTTTGAAAATTTGGCCAATTTTTTTATTCTGAAAACGGCCCAACTTCTGAATAGTGACTTCAGACTATTTTCCCCGCAGAGTTGAGTGAAACAGCAAGTTTGAATTTACAGGTTCCTCTTCTGCAATTTTTTTGGAATTTAGAGTTTTTTGTCCAGCACGAATTGTCAACAGAAAGAAAGTCCGTAATTTCTGTGATTGAAAATAGTTTTTTATGGGTAGAACAGATGCGATTTGACATATATATATATGTCAAAAGTCAAAATTAAGCATTAAAAGGCCAAAGCTTCTTTTTACACAACCGCACAAAGATTTTGTAGTTGTCAAACAAATGCAAAAAATTAGATCAGAAAACTACTTTTCGACTGCTCGGAAATTGTCTTTACAAACCAATGGCCAATAAATATTATAGATACGATTACTTTTTCTCACTTTTTCGCGAAGAATTTCACAGGGAGAGGAGAATGAAAGTGAAAATGAAAATTCCAGCTTCCCGGAAATTTTGACAACTTAGTCAGTAGCTAAATTAACAAAATTCGTTTTCACTAATTGTTATTGCGAAGAACGGTACCAAGATAAGAAATCATTTTAATACTTTGATTTGACAACGAGCAGAAGTGTAACTAAAAAGCGAACTTTGGATATTTTCGCTGTTAAGAAAAATTAGGATTTGTTTCTAAGCGTTTTTTCCATGCATGCAAATCTCGATTACGAATAATCCCTAAACGTGTATGGGCCGTTCACAATGCAGTTCTGCTAAGAATTCTTAGCGGCGAGAATGTCCAAAGTCCGCTTAACAGATGCGCAGAGATAGTTCTAAAGTAAGAAGGGCTCGGAAATGGACTGGACATACAGCTAATTCATTACCGTATAGGTTAAAACTCACGGAGCTTTCCGATGAAGATGGTGACTCCTAAAATGAAGTAAATCAGACAAATTCTTTAGATACGTCAAACAGAAGGATTGCTTTAAATTGCTAGGGATTTAGAAGGATCACAAATCACAAAGCGAATACTCAAAAATAATGTGTGTGCATACAAGTAAGAAAAGCTCGGAAATGAACTTTACATACAGCTTATTCATTACTATCATAAGTTAAAACTCACGGAGCTTTCCGATGATGAAGATGAAGATGAAGATGAAGATGAAGATGAAGATGAAGATGACTAAAATGAACTAAATCAGCCAAGTTCGCCAGATTGTCAAAGAGAAAGATTGTTTTGAATTGATGCTGCGGGATTTCAAAGGATCACAAATCGCAAAGCGAATAATCAAAGATAATGTGTATGGCATACAAGTAAGAAAGGCTCGGAAATGAACTGTACATGCAGCTAATTCATTACTACTATGTAGGTGAAAACTCACGGAGCTTTCCGATGGAGGTGAAGGCAGTTGAGGCTAAAATGAAGTAAATCAGACAAATTCGCTAAATACGTCAAACAGAAGGATTGTTTTAAATTCATGCTAGGGTATGGAAGGATCAGAAATCACAAAACGAATACTCAAAATGTGTGTGGCATACAAGCAGCGATTTATTGCCATCGCTAAGATTGTCTTTTTTTTCGTTGTATGCAAGCCTTATAGGTATAAGAAATTTTACCTCTGTTTACGCCCTAGTAATCAAAAAATACGAAGTTTAACATTAAAAACTGCAAACAGTGACATTGTTGCATCTCTGGGCTACTTAAATTCCTTAATTTTAGGGCCAGGAAAAAATCCACCAAACATATTTATGGCTACTAGTATTATGTTTCTGCTGCATAATGAAGCTTGGAGTCCGCAAAAATTTTGTGGGAGATTCAGTTTTCAAAATTTTGATTTTTGGTTCCAAAATTTAACTGGATTACAACTTAGGCGGATCTTTGGTGAATATTTTGTAGAGATTGCTTCGCTCTATTGAATGGTACCCTAAGATTGCTAAGAAAACAAAACAGTTTGATTTCTTCAAGAGGATTCTACTTTTTAGAGAACTTAAATCATGCAAACTCACCATACTCTCACCATTATCATGTGCAGAAAGGAAGCTCTGAAATTAAGTTAACCACATGCTGAATAGCGTTAAGAAAAAAAGATTTGTGCTTTAATATTCTAAAACATGTTGAAGTGGTGGCGATCAGTCATGACAGCCCAGGGGAACTTTGTAGGCATACAAGCAGCGTCCTTTCGAAAACGTCATTGCCATTGAAAAAGTTGGCGCTGTTCCTTATTTGAGCATCTTCCCCAAATGTCAAAGGCGCAGCATTCTTGCGCTTGAGCACAGAACGTCTATTCATTTGATATGCACTCGATGAACAGCAAATGGGGATGATCTAATTACGCACAAAAACTCACCTCAAGAAGTCCATGGTATCTAGGATCCTGAAAAGTTCAAATTACTTTAAGCGTGCAAATTGTGTATTGCAATACTATGGTTTGACTAACTAATATAATAACTCACCAAAAACAGTGGCAAGAGCAGTGATATCCCTTCTTTAGTAACCTGAAAAGGTCTGATTTAAGTTGTATTGCACACAAGCGTATCCCATCTTCGGCCTTGAATGAATTATGCCATTCTCAAACTACATTTGCTAGTTAAAGCCTGCGTCGGCAAAGTAGTGGGTATTGAGATTTTGAGGCGTTGCAATGTCAGACCCCACTAATCTATTAGTAAAGTTTGGAGCGAAAATGCCCTCCTCGAAAGCCTAAAATTTACTCCGGAAGTGCTACAAACCCCGCCTACCTGCACGAGAGCTTTGAAAAAGGCTCATTTTCGCCATTTTCCTGCGATGAATGAGCAGATTTGGGTTTAGCAAGGCATAAAAACCCAAAAAAGATAGAAATCCGGAAAACGAAATTTTGCCTTTGATGAGTTGATAATGGAAATGCGCGATGTATTTTCATCATTACGCGTAAAAATAACATGTTTTCTTCAATGTTCTCTTACTGCGGGATATGCGCTACTTTATCGATTGTTAGCACTCAGCATTGCGTAAATAATTTTTGAGACGCCTACTTGCGGGCCCATATCTCCGAAATTTCAGGAGAAGGGACTGGCGGCAGCCATGCACCAAAAAAATTTTTAGGGCTAGTTTAAACTTTTAAAAATTCTAAAAAAATCATACAGTCAAACAAGTGAAAACAAGTCGCTTGTAAATTTTTTGACACGTTTGAATGGCTTTCAAGGTGGCGCCTTTCCCCTTGGGTACGCCACTGGCGCTCAGGCGGAATTACAACAGACGATCAGATGTTAAGTCTACTGAAACTCTTGAAAGCAGAAGTTTTCTTTCTTATGGTTTTCTAGAAAAACTAGAAAACTTTCACATTTTAGCAGCTGGGTTGGCAATCACTTGCCGAAATATTTTAACTGATCTTTGTGCATGAAAACTTACCGAATCATTAGGATTTTCCGGCGGTGGATGATAAAGGTAATTAGGTCCGTACCGTCCCGCATTCACAATCGCCACCAGAAGCGCTGCCTTAAAAACAAATTTGGCACAATTGAGAATGTACAATGTAAATAAAGCTGTGAAATGCATACGGTAAGCACTAAAAGTTGCATCTTCGTTAAAGGCTTAGCAATAGTGGCTTTGACTGCTTCCACCCCTTTTTATACGCTCCACGGAAAAGCTGGAATGACACAGAGCCCAATACTACCAAGTAAATATGGCATTATATCAAAATTGAACAAGCTCCGTATGTCGTTATATCAATTTTAACATAACCTTCTAGTGTACTAATGTTATTATTAGGTCGTGTAATAAGTTCTGTCCCATTTTTTGTTTTAGTTTTTTCTTGACAACATTGACTATATTTGAGATAAAGTGTACATGCTTTTGAAAGCTCTAAGTCTGCTCTGCAGACTCATATGCATCATTCCTCAACACAGCAGGAAACTGAAAAAGATTTTTGTCATTGAAACAAAAAATCCAAAGGGCCGAAAAATCAATTTTCGACATCTTTTTTCCTCCAAATTTTTCTCAATTTTTATTGGTAAAACTTATCAAACAAGCTTGACAACAGCCAAAACAATTTATTAGACTTTTACATTTACTCTATAACTGTTTGCGCATGTTACTTTCCTTCCACCGGCTATTTAGAGACATTTTTTTTTTCAAAAGTCGGCAAGGCAAGACTTTGTCACGGCGATGTTCACCGTCTCGCGTACCCAAGCTGTCTGGCTCCCAAAATTTGAATTTTGAGTATTTAACCTACGAATTCGATAATTTTGAAGCCGTAAACCATCCCTTCTGTCTTTTCTGGATGATCCGCCTACCGTCTTCCCTTAGAATGCCTTCAGATGATGCCCAACACCAACGTTGGAAAAGCGTTAGGAAGAAGACTTTTCAAAAGTCTACAAAAATGATTTTTGAAAACTTCAGCACTTCTGGAGCGCGATAGAAGCTAGAGAATTCTTTGCTTACGGTGCAGCAACTTCTTCGAGCTTATTCCTAGACATTCCGACTAATTAGGAGGGCGACGTAACGTAGTTGTCGAAAATGGACTTTTTCCCTGTTTGATTTTCCAAATTTGACGCTGTAAAACTTTTTCAAGTCTTCTGATGTAGAAAACCGGGATCAAAGTTTTAGTAGAGAAGGCTTAGAGCTTTCAAATGCGTATAAACAATTTGCAGAACATCGTGCAAAATATTGAGAAAAATTCGAAAGAAAAAATGGGACAGAACTTATTACACAACCTAATAAATCAGCCAAAAAGCTAGATAAATGACATTTAGGCAGACAGCAAATTTGTTTCTGCATCAAACTGAACGAACATCACAATTCGTTATGTTCTCTTTTTCGGGTCTCTCGACTATCACTGATTTCTTAGAGCAATAAATACAAGCGTCGAGACCCTTCAGTTTTGATGAAAACGTATTTCTTTTTATTGTGACAATGTTTTCAAGCCAGAAAGCCTTTGAAGGCAACTTCGCCGAATAGTTGACCTATTAGAAAATTGCTCTTCAATTTTCTTCCATGGTCTTCGCTACTTATAATCGGTAACCACTTTATATATCAGTTCTTCCAAAGCACATTCTTAAATCAATAGTTTACACATAAATCAATATAATCGATGCGATTTTGCCTCAAATCAACCGCAGGTAAAATTTGCAGTGTTTGTACTTTAGTGCAGACCATGTGGTCTATACAGCAAATGACATTGCCTAGAAAGCTCTGAATAAATATTATCGAACTAACCCATAAGGAGGCGTATGTACTATATTGTGATTACTGAGAAAATATCATGTTGATGGAGCGGACTTCTGTCAATATTAGTCGAACCGAAAGTTCTGCCGCGTTGATTTTGAAAAATTCTTAACTGCTCCTTGTGTGAGTGAGCATATTCGCTTACAATAAATATCATTTAAAGGAAAAAGCCATTTACTAGCTAACATCTTTGATGCTCTATGACGACAAGCGATTCTAAAGATAAAAATTCGAGTAGGAAAACCACTCTAACAATATCTGAAAATCATTTGTCAAAAATCCGGAACGCTGCAGAAAGATTTGTGAACTTGTACAATTTACATAAGTTGTTCTTTCTAGCAATGCCAAGATTCTGCCGATATGATTTTGTAGAAACAAAGGTAAAAATGTTTTTCGCAATCTTTCAAATTTCTGCAGCGTTTCGGAATTTTACAATTCTCAACTCGAGTCAGAGTGGTATTTCTTTTCAGATGTTCATCTCTAGAATCTCCATGTTATCAAGGAGCATCAAAAGTACCATTAGAAAATGGATGAGTTCAAAATTCTCAAATTTCAGCGATTATGCCCACACAGGGAGCAATCACGCACTTTTCAAAATCAAAACAACAGAGCTTTTGGTTCAATTTAATATATTGCATTTTTGCGGCTAATGCATTCGGGATTCCTCCATTAATTTTGCTTTCAGTTTGTTGTACAAAAGAAAAATTTTCTTGTTTCTGTATTTAGCATTACTTACTCGTTACTTGGAGTTCTTCGATGGGTCGTATAAATTGGTAAGATTGGTTAACTATCCATGGCGAAAACCATGGGTCGCAGCTTTTGAACATGTTGTGTGCTATTGATTAAACTGAAATGAGCGAGCCATTCGAGAAACCATAAAAGAAACGTTAGAACCGTCCGAAGGGTTTGTTCTGCGCGATGTTATGCTCGCTTGAAAAGGAAAAAATTACTTGCGGACGATCTGCTATATCGAAAGGTTAGACAACAACGCCTAAATCTGCTTTTGTTTTGGATCTTTGAACTAGATTTTTTCGACTACAAAATGAGTTTGAACTCATCGGATGCTTTTACGAAAAATTGTAATTCACAAATTGTTTAGAACTTTGATTTGTTTGAGATAAATTTTTCAATATATGCAGCAAATTATCTGTTGTGTATATGAAACTCAAAGTTGTGGGGATGTTCGTTAGGTTGTTCTTCATTTTAGAAATGCCAGCAGTTGAACCAATCGAGCTAGGTTTGAAACGACTCTTCACGGCAATTCGATGGGCCCTTTTATCGATTTATCGATTTTTAATCGTTTGCAATAAATATGAGCCTTATCAACCAAGCATCAATCCCTTTGAGACCTTTGAACCAAGCAAGTCATTTACATTAAAATAAACAAGGTAGGTTTCATTTTTGTTTTCTGTCAAGGAAGCTCGGTTCAAGGCAGTGAGTTACTGAGTGAATTTTGTTTTTAGTGCGGTTGTGATGCGTTTAAAATCACTTGGTTACGTTACTGTTGTTTTATTCAGAGCAGAACAAAGCCGAAACCCAATCTTAAGAAAGGCAACATATATTCTGCTTTTAAGCGGAACGAAGTGGTCAATTCAATTTAGGCAGTGATTAGACTTGGAGAAAGCCTTGATCAGGTGTCAGATTGCTTTTATACTCTGTAGTTTTCCATGCTTCATTCTCATAAGCAGATTCAGAAAGAAGATTATTGAGTCGTTTTGGAGAACAGAAAAAAAAAATAAAAAACTGAGTTGTTGAGGTACCGTTTAAAAGGCCATATTAGAAAAATGAGCTACTGTTGCGATGGCCGCTACATGTGGAGAGCCTTTCATGATAAAACCGGTTTTTTGTATCACAGGTTGCCAAAATGTTTACTGAGAGAGCATCGGAAGTCAATCAAAAACTCCAAAAATCAATCTTATATATAAAGCTGAATGTCTGTTTGTCTGTCTGTCTGTATGTCTGTCTGTCTGTCTGTCTGTCTGTGTGTACGTATGTTCCGAATAGAAAATTCCATTTCTGAACCGATCCGGACCAAACTTGGCACACATACACTACGGGCCCCGGCGGGTGTCATAGGCTACTTTTCGTCATCGATCGATATCGATTTTATCGATTTTTATCGATTTTTTTGCTGAGTTCACCTACGGGGCTGGGAGTTGGCACAGGGGGGTAATCGAGCATGGGGATTCCGAATACAATATTGGTTTTCAGGATTATCGATTACTTTTATCGATTTTATCGATTTTTGCAAAGTTTGAGCTACGGGGCTGGGAGTTGGCACAGGGGGGTAATCGAGCATGGGGATTCCGAATACAATATTGGTTTTCAGGATTATCGATTACTTTTATCGATTTTATCGATTTTTTTGCAAAGTTTGAGCTTCGGGGCTGGGAGTTCGCACAGGGGGGTAATCGAGCATGGGGATTCCGAATACAATATTGGTTTTCAGGATTATCAATTACTTTTATCGATTTTATCGATTTTTTTGCAAAGTTTGAGCTAGGGGGCTGGGAGTTGGCACAGGGGGGTAATCGAGCATGCTGATCATCCCCAAGGGGGGTGATCAGCATGCTCGAACACCCCTGTGCCAAATTCCAGCCCCCTAGCTCAAATTTTCAAAAAATCGATAAAATCGATAAAAGTAATGGACGATCTTGAAAACTAATATTGTATTCGTAATCTGCATGCTCGATTACCCTCTGTGCAAACTCCCAGCCCCGCAGGTCAAACTTTGCAAAAAAATCGATAAAATCGATAAAAGTAATGGACGATCCTGAAAACAAATATTGTATTCGGAATCCCCATGCTCACTTCCCCCCTGTGCCAACTCCTAGCCCTGTAGGTGAACTCTGCCAAAAAATCGATAAAATCAATAAAAGCAATCGATAATTCTGAAAACTAATATTGTATTCGGAATCCCCATGCTCACTTCCCCCCTGTGCCAACTCCTAGCCCTGTAGGTGAACTCTGCCAAAAAATCGATAAAAATCGGTAAAATCGACATCGATCGATGACGAAACGTGGACTGTGACACCCGCCGGGGCCCGAAGTGTATGTGTGCCAAGTTTGGTCCGGATACGGCGGAGCCGGGTAAGCCAGCTAGTTAATAATAAAATGAAGCAATTAGTTAAAATCAATCAAATGAAGCGTGTCCCTCACAATGTTTGCTAAGTGTGAAAAGTTGAAGTAATCGTGTTTTCGTTGACTTATTTCAGTGTTGGTCAAACCAATTTATAAAGGCTTATTTTGAAGACTGACTCATATTTTTCAAACGTAAAACAAATCTCTGTTCAAGCATTTGAGCCGAGGAAGGCGGGTAGGCCAGCTAATCCTAACATATAAAACATACGGCTAACCAAGCTTTCCACACGAATCTTGGAAAATTTCTGTGCAGTTGCGTTTCAACCTATTTAAGTGTTGAAGCAAATAAAGAGAAAGAAAAAGACGTCTGAAGCAATTTTCGTTTACCTAAAATGAACAACTCAGCAACATCCCAAGGACATCAACAACAAATGGAAATAAAGGAGATTACAATCGTTAATAACAAATGGAAATAAAGGAGATCACAATCTCATACATTAGTGATCTAGAATGTAGATATATGGAAGGGGGTGGACAATCAGCCGGTCAAATCCGCATACGAACAAGCGTCATAAAGTATGAAAACCTGACGATTCCGCTTGTAGCCTTATTCGCACTGTTACAGAAATTCGAGACACGGCAGTATGAGCACCTGAAAATAGAAATTGATGTGTTTGTCAAAGTAATTCTTCAATTGAACGTCAGTTTGGTCATGCAAATATCACCCAATCTCTAACCGATGATAAACTAACGGAGAGACGCGTTTCTACTCCCATGAAATCGTTCTAAAATTGTATTGTGTGCTTCGATGCCGTTGATATCAGGCTTACGATAACATAACATTCACATGGAAAGCTAAGTTTTCGATTTCTACTGACACTATGTCTGATTTGTAGAATATTTTCAACAAACACTCTACGAAATCTTATCCAGCAGTGACTGTTGAATGTATTGGAGTGAACAAAAACTAACAACTTTTGACTTGGATTATAAAGCAGATAACAAAGTGATGCTCAACCATATCCTTACTGGATTTTTTTGTGCATAGACAGAGAGAAAAAAGACAATATGTTAGGTCGTCCTGAAAGTTTTTTGCTCACGATTTTCAAAAATTCATAACTTCTGATTTTTCCAACCAAATTGACTGCTTTTATTTTTATATGAAAGAATAAGACATGCTCTTTATAATGGCACCTTAGTCGCTTACTATTGGTCATCTGCTGCATAGATAGGAGCGACATAAGAAGATTGGTCAAATTTGAATTTTTTGTGTGGGGTCATAAGAAATCGGAAACTTGCAACAAAAATCGGAGCAGTCAGTATTGTAGGTTCTTTCACCAGCTCTTCCTAACAGTGCAAAGTTTGCGCTGATTGAGCATCTCTATGAAAAGTTATGATTTCTCTGAAAAATGCCAAAATAAATCAAATTCGCCCTTTTGTATTGCTTGCTCGAAAATCATAACTTTTCAAAGAAACGCTCAATCAGCACAAACTTTGCACTGTCAGAAAGAGCTGGTGAAGGAACCTACAATACTGACTGCTTCGATTTTTGTTGCAAGTCTCCGATTTTTCATGGCCCTACACAGAAAATTGAAATTTTGACCAATTTTCTTCTATCGCTCCTATCTATGCAGAAGATGAACATTAGTAAGCAGGTAACATGCCATTACAAAGAGCATGACTTACTCTTTCATATAAATATAAAAACAGTCAAATCGGTTGGAAAAATCAGAAATTGTGATTTTTTGAAAATCGCGCAAGAACTTTCGGAACGACCTAATAATATGTCATTGTATACTGCAAGCCTTAGTACGTATAAGTAGATTAGCCCCTGCCCTGGTAATCGACAAACACCGTTTGACATTTATAAAAACGAAAAAGTGACATTTAGTGACTTTAATTTCTCAAAGGCGGTGTTTCTCGATTACCAGGCATGGGTGTAGGCCCTTCTGAACCCGCGCTAATCGCGATGGCTGCGATAGGTCAGCGCGTCTCAGAGGTCACGTCTAATTCGCTGCTTCGATGAGGCGAGCGGTTGACCTAAGGAGGTGCGTTGCGGAAACGGACGAGTTCCTCATTGATGATCCCCTTCCTTAACCTTGATAGAGATGTCGTGGACGCATGATTCAACCGAATGCTGCTACTCTGCTGTCTTACTAACAAACTCGCTGCTATCCACTAAATTGACGTGCTTCCAATCAAATAGTACTTGGGATGTGTTTGCTTCGACTACTGAAGTACTCTATTTCTGGTTGAGTAAAGTGAGTGCTAGTAACTCTTTTTGCTCCATGTGTGCAATCCTTGCTGCATCGTGTATCGCCACATTCATTTGTGTATGTGAGCTAAACGAAGCCAGCAGGGAAAACACACTCTTTGAAATGCAGTACGTTAATGCAGTTCGTCGCCAACTTTGATTCTGCGCCCATTATAGCGGCTGCATAATTATAATATCCAAAACATCCAAAATTCCATGCACAACCCCAAAAATTAGCGAGAAGGGAGCAGCGTTTGCGCAAAAAACTAGATGATGCCACCGAACAATCTTGTCTTTGTATTGAGCGAAAATCGTTTAGAACAAACTATAAACTATAAGGTAGCCTGCAGAGTATAGAAAACCATCTGTTGTACTTTTGATTGTGGGTCGGGTTGCATGTGCTTTCCTCTCGACGCATCATGCAGTTCACAACGTTCAAACATGTGACAATGCATGAGGCAGAAAGGATGCACACAAACAAAATTTGGCAGTAAAAGTAATCAAAATGAGATGAAAAACCATTCATATTATCACTCAAGAAATTTAGAACAAGTTTCTACAAACCTGATTGATAAGTTCGAGATAAAGTTAGGCAGTAGAATAGCAAAATGGAGTGAATAGCAGCATTACACAAATGGAACCAGATAAGGTGGGGATTACTACTGCGTTCAGATCTCAATGCTGGAAAGGGGAACCTCGAGGTGCGATGAAGACTTTCGAAAATAAAGCGTTCCGCAGAAGACTCGTCCGCAATGGCCGCAGCGCAGGCGCCCGCGCCCTACATGCGGGATTACTGTAGTAGACGGTGGGTTCAGAAAGGCCGTCTCAACCAGGCATCCGGTGATTGTATCTCGTACAATTTTCTGTGATGTGCTGCCACAAGCTTGGTGGGAAATGTGTTTGCTGCAGTTTTAACAAAACCAAAGCCTAAGATGATTGATTTCCTTTCATGGAATTGATGTGTTGCTGAAAAAGTGTTTTCAGTAACATTTGGACCAAACTTGTACACTTAATAGGCCATTCATTGAATGGAGATGTGTCAGTCATTGGTGTTTACGCTGAGAATTCTCTCGAGCTTAGGACAGAGAAGAAGAGCGTCCATACTCTGTTTACGATTGATAATGATATCATTGTTTGTGTGAACTAGGAAGCTGGGATTGCAAGTGGGAGTAAGTGAGCGTGCATTACAAACCAACCTCAGAAATAGTGAGTTCTAGCCATACCGTTTTTGTGCAAATTCGAGCTAAAAGCTAGAACTTTAAACTGGTGCAGGGAGTAACCTGGTACGAACTATAGTTAGAACCGAATATTCGTGTTCGAATAATTTATTCGAAATATTCGACTATTCGAATATTCGAATAGTCGAATATTCAAACAGTCCAATTATTCGATTATTCGAATAGTCGAATAAATGAAAAAGGCCTGTATTCGAATAATTCGTTCATTCGATGATTTGGAAAAATGAGTTATTCGAATATTCGTCTATTCGAGGAATTACAAAAGACCGTTATTCGAATATTTGAATATTCGAGCCAACTTGAAAGACAGTCATTCGAATATTCGAATATTTAAGAGCATTCATTCGAACATTCGATGTCAAAAGAAAACTTTAGCTGTTCCACACTAATTAAAAGTATGTCCCCGATCGGTCAATCACAAAAATGATTTATCAAATGACAGAATGGCTAGCAAGCTTCCCTTTTTAAGGCATGAGTCGCGAGCCATGCCAGAGCATAGTGATGACAAGCCCTTTATATAATTCATTTGGAGTGGTGAACTATCTTCTGGAAATAGCGTCTGAGAAGTTGAGACGCGTAATCACGCGCAGATACCTCCAAGCTCTAAATTGGGTGAAGAAGCAAAGCATCATTAGGCGCCCAACGCACCACTGGTCCTCAAACAGCTTGCATAAGCATGTGAAGGACCAGCAGCCCTTTAAGGCAGCAGGTATAGGCAACATTCATTCCTTCATCTCGAGGTCTTCATTTGCCTTGCCAGCCTAATCACCGCTCGCGTGTCAGAATACCTTAAAGATACGTTACAACGCAAGGCCAGAGCAAGGCGGTCGTGAGGATCTGAGCCGCTTGACTTGTGGCGGCAGCCTATATGTCAGTCATCATACTCAAATCAGTTGCCCTTATAGTCAGGAGGTGTAGAAAATAATGTTAGAATTACACGCCTACATGAAGTACGCGTGTAGGCGCCTGCTCGAAGTATTATTCCTTTACGAACTTTGCATCATTGCAAAGTTCGTAGAGGAATATTACTCCGAGTAGGCGTGTAGGTTGAACAATAATTATTTTGAACCTGAGTAAAAGATATGGAAGATCCCCTACAACAAAAATACAAACCTCAAAAATACAACTAAAACAAATTTGTGAGAATTCAATCCTACAGCAGAAACTGTGAAACTCGGGGATTAATAATTCCCGACAAGTATTAGATTATCAGCTAATATACAGATATGAGTTTTCTTTTTCTGGATTTAGATGAGCACAGAAGTATTAGATTATCCTGGAAGTTTTGTCCGTTTTCTTTTCATCGCTCACTAGAGCTCACAGAACACCGATCTATGATCAACTTAGGTACGATTTGATACAGATTTTTATCTTTTTCTTGTAGCTGTATTTGCTCTCTGATCTACTCTGTCTTTGTAATGTTATCGCCACGGCTTCCTTAGCAGCTCAGAAGTAACGCCAAATTTTTACTGAGTTTTAAAAATTTTTATCTCGATGTTTTTAAAGAGCGCTGATGAGTGTCATGTAGGGCAAGCCTTTAGCTACATTGTGCCCATTTTAGATTACATGGGCCATGTTTACCAAGCTCGTTATAATTATTTGTTTGATAAAAGCTGCGCCTTTTTGATTACGTTTACCACGTAAAAGTCCGAAAACTCAAAAAGCTAATTTTCAAAGCAAATCAAACTTGCTTATGTGGCGTAAATAATGTTGGATAAGAATCATATTTTAATTCGCAAAAGTTTGAAAAGCTTTTGTGTATTTGCTGCAGTAGGTATTTCATGACTTTGCCAGAAATCGAGACTTCCGAAGATCTGTTTTTGAAGCTAAAAACAGCAAATTAAGAGAATCTAAAATATTACCCTGTATTCCGAGAGCTGCTCTGTTTGATCCATATTAGTCCTTTCCGAAACTTTGAAATGAAATTCAAAAGTAGCCTAACTTTGAGCAGATAAAATTGACGGATGGAGAATTTTGGCAATTATCAAAGAACGCATACAAGATTGTAGTTCGAAAATGTATTCTTGAAAAAGAGAAGGAAAAGCTGCATCGAATGCTAAAACTTATTCAGGTCTTTATTGTGCGTGGTTTGATATTAATTTGGAAAAAACGGACAAAAC